ATTAGTGGATACCTTATCCTCCCTTTCACTGAAACACACGATAATTAATCCTTTGAGATGAATGTCTGAATCAAATGCTTTATATTTAGATTAATTTTACTCTTATATTGGCTTTACAGCAAACATCTCTAAATAAATGTGTTGTTTATTACAATATAAAATGCAATTAAAAGTTTGTTATACAAATACAGTGTTTGTCAAATAAAATATATAAATTATTCTTTAAAACATTTCAAACCAAAATGAATGAAAATTTAAACTATGATTATAATATAATTCACATTCATTATAATTCATATAATTCACATATACATAATTTATACATTCACAAACAGGCGTTAGTGATTTTAAATAAAAATTAATTCGTGTGTTATTCTCCATAAGTTTATATGAAAGTATTACTACAGTACTATTACTTATAAGTTGACCAAGCTCTAACGCGTGTATGTGAATGAATTTATATTATAAATTATCATATAATTTTATTAATAAACTCAAAGTGGGCAGTATTATTAAATTACAATTAAATATCAATAGAATTTTTTAAAATGTAACATGATGATAATATTTATGTCTAGAAAACTCCAAGTGAAATGATTTGATAATTTATAACTAAAATCCATATTATATTCCGATAAAGTATCAATACAAATTTCTTAGAAACAGATTATCGATTGCTATAAAATAGCTCCCAATATACGCGCGTTATTTGAATAATTTATACCTAGCTCCTATTAAATATTCCCTTGGTATATATGCTGTCAATAAAATATGTCTAACATTAGGAAAAAAGGAGGAAATTCAATAATAAAATTGTATTTTTCTCTCTCTTTAATGCCATTCAAGAAAACTCTGTCTTCAATAATATATATAAATATTTTTGAAGATANAAAATCTCAATTGAATCCATTAAACACCTGATTTTAATTGTGTTCATAAATGCATTGACACCCTGGTATTATGTACTAAGCATTGAGTGCATTACAATAATTTAATAACTAATGGACTCTTGATTGAACGCAAATAAAAACTACACTACTTTTCACTACACCGACTAAACGCGTTAAACAAATGCTGTTTTCTTGTTGTACTTAAACACACAGAATATTCTGACGATAAATGCGTTGATCGATAAAATCTGGTCTTTTATTTTTGACGTGCAATCGTTTGACTTTTGTCTGACCTTTACATACATTCCCCACTCTATCGCCAATTTTATGTATAATAAATCTAAACGTGTATTTACTTATGTATTATCCCATCGTAAACGAGTATAGTCTCTGTCTCTCCGCTCTCTGTCAATAAATATTTGCCATTAGATAGCAATACAATAAATAAATAATTTTTGCTCTTAAAATACAAACATTGGATGCCTACCTATTTTTGTGTGCCCATTTATTTGCTTAAGTTAACCAAGACAAACTTTATTTTGCCAAAACTACTAATGTATAGTAACAAAGTTATAAATTGCCAAAAGCATGACTAATACATTATAATGCCTTAATTAACACAAATAACTTTATTATTTGATTCTAATAAATACAAATTATATGAATTGTTGTTATATTTGCATTATCCAGGTCCACCAGTGGAAGTTGGCGTAACCATGTATATAATTAGTATTAGCTCTATATCAGCTGTAAATATGGTAAGAATAACATTATATATTTATATGAGGCACTATACAAGCTTAATAACTTAATACATAATAATTAAAAATAATATTAACCATGGTACAAAATCTCTCTGCACATTTGTCTGCCTGTCTCCTCACAGGACTTCACATCAGATTTCTACTTCCGTCAGGCGTGGAGAGACTCACGGCTGACATTCATGAAGCGGCCGGGCATTGACGCCCTGTTTGTGGGGGCCGAGGTGTCCGACAAGATCTGGGTGCCCGACACCTTCTTTGCCAATGAGAAGTCGGCACAGTTTCATAAGGCGACCACCGAGAACACTTTTATACGTATTAAGTCCAATGGCGAAGTGTTGCGCTCAATTAGGTCAGTATATAGTGGCCAGGGAGGTTGTCTGTTCAATTGCAACTCAATAACACCTACACAATTTACAAAATAGCTATATTAACAGAATTTTTGTTTAATAGTTATATTTATATTAAATTATTTTAATTTTTGGTACCTTGGTAATGTATTTTGTATGGGTTTTTAATTGAATTGAACATAAATGCAGTGCTATCTCTAACTGTTTACGTAATAAATGTGTTGATTTGGACTCAATGTGTAGTACAGGGAAGTGCTCTTTAAGTGTTACTAAAAATAAATTCCCAGACGTTAGCCATATATTTATGTGAATGATAAATGCATTTTAGGTCATAGAATATGCTATAAACAGCTATACATTAGCGCTAAATGTATGCATTTATTCATAGATTTACGTATAATTCAATAGTACTAAAAGAATTAAAATTTCTAATGCAAATTAGTTAAAATATTCAATTTAATCACAAGTCATTTGACATTTTAAATAATATAAATTTATAATATAAGTTTTAAAAGTGAATGCTGAGTATGTTTGTTAAGCACTTACAGATTATATTTAGTAAAGCTGAGTAAAATATAATCTCGTATCAGACAGTATTAGTGTATCTAATAATAACATTAGTAAAATAAAAACTATTACATAAAATTACTTAAAGAGTCTACAATACTACTGTAATTTTGTTATTGTAAAAGCATTAATCTTATAATACATATCAACAATAATAAATTACTAAATTAATATGACTTTTAAACCCCAGATTAACGATCACATCTTCCTGTCCAATGAATTTACAATACTTCCCAATGGATCGACAGAGCTGTACGATTGAAGTCGAAAGCTGTGAGTATTTCACCCAGATTCAATTCATCTGCCATTAAATATATGTAGCTTTGTATGTCTTAAACCCACACTACTCTCACATACTATGACACAAAATACAATACAATTAAGAAAATGCTTATATAATAAGCGCACAGAACGTAGGAAATGACTGAATATTTTATGCATTTATATAAATAATTAGTTTTATTTTGCGCTGACATTCACTATCACCGGACACAAAACCATTGGCTTATGAATTGTATATAAAAATCAATCCTTAGCTCATTATTGTGTACTCATATATAATGAACGGGTAAATCAAATCATGTGAATTCAATTGAATGCCAGTCTATATCCATGTGTGCATACCGTACTCTCTCTCTCTCTCTCTCTCTCTCTCTCTCTCNTCAGTCATTTCCTACGTTCTGTGCGCTTATTATATAAGCATTTTCTTAATTGTATTGTATTTTGTGTCATAGTATGTGAATGTGTGTGTGTTTTGAACACAACTTTTATTTTGCTTTTGTCTTCATTAGTAGATAACTATTCAATTAGTATTTCGAGTGCTTATATCATACAAAACACTACCACATCCAGTGCCAACTACCACATACAGTAGCTCTCTGGCCCTCTGGTACCACCATATCATACGACCAGATATTTCTGCCAAATCTATGAACTATTAATAGATATTTCACTTTTTATGAAACAATATACTCGTATCACATCCTAAATCATATCAAACACTCGCACAAAATCTAATGCTTTTACCTCGTATCCAGTGATTAATATAAAATTTTCATTACCTTTCAATTTGATCCCTGGGCTAAAATCCACGGCTTTCCCCTCACTTTCTCTATATTTTATTGTGTTATATAAACGTCTGTTAAGTGTTGAGCGCAATGTATGGCCAACTTATTGCCAATACGTCTACCAATATATTCACAATCGGCTTAACTCTCACTTTATATTGACTTTTAGTACTGCAAAGTGTCTAACAATTAGTGGATACCTTATCCTCCCTTTCACTGAAACACACGATAATTAATCCTTTGAGATGAATGTCTGAATCAAATGCTTTATATTTAGATTAATTTTACTCTTATATTGGCTTTACAGCAAACATCACTAAATAAATGTGTTGTTTATTACAATATAAAATGCGATTAAAAGTTTGTTATACAAGTACGGTGTTTGTCAAATAAAATATATAAATTATTCTTTAAAACATTTCAAACTAAAATGAATGAAAATTTAAACTATGATTATAATATAATTCACATTCATTGTAATTCATACAATTCACATAATACATAATTTATACATTCACAGACAGGCGTTAGTGAATTTAAATAAAAATTCATTCGTGTGTTATTCTCCATAAGTTTATATGAAAGTAGTAACTAGTATGTATGAAACAAATATTACTTATAAGTTGACCAAGCTCTAACGCCTGTCTGTGAATGAATTTATATTATAAATTATCATATAATTTTATTAATAAACTCAAAGTGGGCAGTATTATTAAATTACAATTAAATATCATTGGATTTTTAAAAATGTAACATGATGATAATATTTATGTCTAGAAAACTCCAAGTGAAATGATTTGATAATTTATAACTAAAATCCATATTATATTCCGATAAAGTATCAATACAAATTTCTTAGAAACAGATTATCGATTGCTATAAAATAGCTCCCAATATACGCGCGTTATTTGAATAATTTATACCTAGCTCCTATTAAATATTCCCTTGGTATATATGCTGTCAATAAAATATGTCTAACATTAGGAAAAAAGGAGGAAATTCAATAATAAAATTGTATTTTTCTCTCTCTTTAATGCCATTCAAGAAAACTCTGTCTTCAATAATATATATAAATATTTTTGAAGATATTTTGCAAAACCTTTTTTATGGCTAAAATATATTTTTGATGCCATTTAAGGATATTATATATTAGTGCAGATGTTATATAATAATAGCTATACTTATAGTCTCTTTGTTTGGCGTTTTACTCGAGAGAGAGAGAGAGAGAGAGAGAGAGAGANCTATATTTCTCGATAACAAAAAACCTTTTGTTACTAAAAATATAATACATATGAGTATTGTTCGCATGAATTGTTTGTTCATAGGATTAGGTATTAAGAATCGGCTTCAAAAGTATAGATAAGAAATTTCATTACATCTCTCTCTCTCTCTCTCTCTCTCAACAGAAATATTCTTTTTGTGTAAATATTTGCTCCTTTTATATGACATTTGCTGTTAGACTAATAGATTTACTATAATATATGGCATAACCAGCGAAAATAGTTTTTGGACACTAATATATGGCATATATTTTACATTTTTAAGTTCAAAAATATTCACACGATTTTCAATATAAACGCCAAAATGAAAGTCTCCGTTATTTGAATACGAATTTTATTTTTAATTTATAATATTTACAGATGAATTTTATATATAATATTATTGCTTATATTATATTTATATAATATCATATTATTACGAATTTTGAGATAAATTTATTTACTTTCTCTGTAGACTTTGAAGGAAATTTACAAAAATGGAAATTTATTTCAATTCTAAACCTATTTCTATTATAATTAAATAATTATTTATAAGCCAAATGCCAGTCTATGGTTACGTTTCTGTATATAAATTGCTGTATTTTAGTGAATATAATAGAATATGAGACATAATAAAAATTACTTGATTTTTATTAAATGCTATTCAATGAGAATATCTATGATTTAAATGTCAAGGAAATATGCACTCATAGGAATTCAGTCAAATATACTGTATTTTTTACTATAATATATGGCATAACCAGCGAAAATAGTTTTTGGACACTAATATATGGCATATATTTTACATTTTTAAGTTCAAAAATATTCACACGATTTTCAATATAAACGCCAAAATGAAAGTCTCTGTTATTTGAATACCAATTTTATTTTTAATTTATAATATTTACAGATGAATTTTATATATAATATTATTGCTTATATTATATTTATATAATATCATATTATTATGAATTTTGAGATAAATTTATTTACTTTCTCTGTAGACTTTGAAGGAAATTTATTTCAATTCTAAACCTATTTCTATTATAATTAAATAATTATTTATGAGCCAAATTCCAGTCTATGGTTACGTTTCTGTATATAAATTGCCGTATTTTAGTGTATATAATAGAATATGAGACATAATAAAAATTACTTGATTTTTATTAAATGCTATTCAATGAGAATATCTATGATTTAAATGTCAAGGAAATATGCACTCATAGGAATTCAGTCAAATATACTGTATTTTTAANATATAATAGAATATGAGACATAATAAAAATTACTTGATTTTTATTAAATGCTATTCAATGAGAATATCTATGATTTAAATGTCAAGGAAATATGCACTCATAGGAATTCAGTCAAATATACTGTATTTTTAATATAGGAAATATTATATAATATAATATCTAAGGTTTCGTTCCGCAAAATATATATCGAATTAATTAAAAAATAAAAGAAAATCAATAATAAGTGGGAGAGAGAGAGAGACAGAGAGAGAGAGAGAGAGATGTAATGAAATTTCTTATCTATACTTTTGAAGCCGATTCTTAATACCTAATCCTATGAACAAACAATTCATGCGAACAATACTCATATGTATTATATTTTTA